TGTGTCCGACGCTAATATACCTTCGAGGTTAGTTCCGTTCTTCGGAACAGCGTCTAACGTCAACATGAATATATTATTTATGTGTCCTGCTTCGCTGGTATATGCAACTTTTATCACTTCTAGTCAGATCAGATCAGTCAGCCACTTCAATCTGACGGAACTTTAACACACACCTATATTTATTTCTAACCGCCTCTGTAGCCAAATGGTTAAACGTATTGCCTAGCATTGCGTTAAGCGCGAGAGGTCCTGGGTTTGAATCCCATCAACTACTTGCCCGTTAAAAGAACGGATCAGTGAAACGGACACAGGAATGTGTTCGCCCCATGCCCCACGAGGGGGAAACGGGCTTTCACATATTTATTTCTACATTATAAATAAGACCTAAGCGAATATTTGTGTTTAAAATAGTTAATTCATATAACATACATGTCTTTTTGTCTTTTTTGTATTCTGCAATTCAAGCGACTCGGGACATATGATAAAATACGCCTTCCAGTTTCTTTAAGGCAATAATGTTTTACGACGATAAGGACTTCAACAATAAGGATTTTAAGCGAGATTCGGTGTTACCATGAGTACAATAATAACTTTAGGTTACTGATTTTTAATTAGCTGTTCCAGCGACTTCATTCGGGTAAAATATTTAGTTTAGGCATCAAACCTCCTCCGCAACTCTTTAACTCAACTTTATAAATTATACCCACGACGTGCGTTATCCGAGTCTTGAACATTATTAGATCATTTAAAGAGGAATTACTCTTTTATACATATTTTCTACGTATCTTGAACTGATTTTGCAGCACGCGCAATGGAAAGCCTCAAATTTTTTTATTATTTTTGTGAATTAAAAATGAAAAATTCAATTCAAACCAGCGGTTTCTGAGAGTAACAGATTCAAAGAAACAAAAGTACTCCTCAGCCTTATCATGTTAGTATTGATATATCCTACATTGAGTTTTGTGACCTAAATAATAAATATTTCATTTATTCATAGATACATAATATCTATCTCAAAATTTCTATTTTATTATATTATTATAAAAAACGCTGTTCCCACCAAGTGCAGCAAAGCTCCCTTGCCATGTCTAGCAGCTTTTATTAATGTTGCAAGCACTTATGTCAGGGAAATCTTGCAGTGAACATCGCCACTCGTTCGCGTCTGGAGAGGATGAGAGGTGAATAAAATGTGAGGTGCCTTTTCATTTAATTTCTATAATTCCGGAGCCGAGGAATTCAAATAACAATTCGAGTGAGCTTCGTTGCGAAATTGATTTGAATGGGCCTCGAGATGAGGGTTTCTTTTGGGGATCTCGTGTCAATGGGTGAGGTCGCGTTTCTTGTGCCTCTTGGTCGTTATTATAATATCGATCTTGTATCATCTCTGCTTAACATTGAATTAAATTTTGAGGACACATATTTTGAGAGATCCAAAACCGTTGTTCTAGTCTGTTTCCGTCGGGTCATCTCTCGTCAAAATAGCTTTGTCTCATAGAATTCACTATTTAAAAAAAACTTTAGTTTACTAAGTTAAGTTTAGTTTTAGTTTGTATTAAGTTTGCGAGAACAAGCTACATTTAAGTGTTTCATATAGAAATCTTCAAATTCTTTATAATATGTTCTTTTAAATTTTTTACATTTTATCATAAAAAATTGTGTGAAAGGTGTCTTTGAAGTTTAATTTAATTACACTGAAACTTGCTTATTTTAATTTTTTGTTATCACATACCGTTTACATTGTATATTCTTTAGTCCGTCCGTCCACAAACATTCGCTTGAAATCGCACTTTTAACTTTACCAATGATCTAATCATTTTAATTTATTATTTATAGACACGTTATTGTAATGTTATCCTACTTTAATAGTGTGTCGTTAATTAAGCGCTTTACAAATATATGTTTGTTTATATCCTGTCTATAGTTTACGCGAGTAGTACACATTTAAATAAAACAGATTTTTACGGTTTAACGGTGTAACGGGGAGACTGTCTCCTGTGTGTCACTGTGTCTGACGTGACCACAGCTGCTGCAAAGCATCGGAAACGTCGGGCCGAAGTTAAAAATAATTTTCAAATAAGTTTAACTAATATATTACCTAATAATTTTAACCCGTTAAAGTGTTTTATTTAAATGTTTGTTTAAGTTTAGATTTCGTTGTGCCCAATCCAAACTCTTTGATATCTCAGATAAGTAGATCTGAACTTTTAAATAATAATTACGCTTAGTCTAATACACATTCTTATGACTTCATATAATAAATAGCGAAATCAACAACGAATAGTGAATTCCATACAGTTCACAGATCAAAAGAAAGTTATTCATAGGGGGACGTCACATACTTACCTATAAGATTTGTGCGGGCTTCCCCATCCTATGTTTAAATAATTAGCTTAAGAGACTAAACCTGGGGTGCGTCTTGCTAACAGTGCATTTAAAATGTTTAGATTGGAATTCGTATTATTTGAATGGAGATTAAAAGGGCTCTAGGTACTTTGATGATTCGACATGTGTTCAAACTTTATTGCATAGTAATTCGCATATTTAATGCCTACGTTAGATTGGGGCTCAGATAATTGTCGTTCTAATCTTATAGAGCTAAACTTTACACGCCCAGTAATATAAATGAACGATACATTTATATTTCGCTGGTATTTGCTGGATTGAATTTATCAAATTTGCAAATACACCGCTATGTGTCCACTAAAACTTCAATGCCCTGCTCGACCGATTACTCAACTGAATAATTTATTATTTCCTGGGATCAAACCAGAATATCCCGCGCTCAACGCAATGATAAAAGGCACTTTTAACGTCGACTATAGTCTATACTTTTAATTTTTTAAGTTGTGGTTTAAAAAACAATTCTTCGTTGGCAGTCCATTTTTGTAAAGCGACTTACCTGCTTTCAATCCTTTAATCCATTTTTGGTCCCATTCACTGGATAGAGAGAAAAGTGTTACCGATTTTTTTAAACCTGTCAACCGAATGTCAAGTGAACAAAGCCGCTTAGCAGCTGATTAAAATAAGACGCAGTAAAATGTCTAAAGGGTACATTGTGGTACAAACTTTTGACACTATTTAAAAGAATATGAATTCTATTTTACATTGTCAAAATGACATTTCGTAACAATTCAATTCGTAGCAGAAGGGTTAGGTTTTTGTTAAATTCAATTGTATTGTGCGGAAACGAATGACATTGACGTTATAAGCAACAATCCCAATAGAAGAGTAAATAGTAAATAAGTTATTTACTTCCTTGCTTCTATTTATACAGCGGTGATAAAGTCATTTGTTCAGTAAATAACTGAGTAGTAAGACTGGTTCTCACGAAAGGAGAGAAAATAATGTTATGTATCCCACATAATTGTTTTGTTTTGTAAATTACAATATTTTATATTCCGTTTGATTTAAAATAAAGTTTTGAATGAACTGAATTCTGTAGCTATTTTGACCATAGCGGAAATTGCATTAAAATCAGTTCAGGCGCAACAAAACAACAATGGGGATGTTGAGTTGAAGTATGTAAAATCCTGTTCTCTGACTGTTTTCGATTTTCATATCCTTATTTATTTTTATTATAATTTTTCATAGAAATATAGAAAAATCAAGTATCAATTAACATTTTAAGATCTACGCCTGCTTTTATTGCGTGGTTTCAAAATTATCACTTTAAATATTATGCATAAAAATTAATCCGTATCAAAAAAATTATTACTATTTAATTTTATGTGACATGAAAATTATTTTTCTCTATATTTCTATAGCATATCATATAACTTAGCTAATACAATGTTTAAGGATAACTCAGCGAAATTGCTACATAGGGGTAGAATGTGAAATTTTGTACAAACACGAGCTCTCATCTGTGAATAGTTTATGCAGAATCCAAAATCCGCAGCATCGTGGCGTGATGCATTAACCTCCGTCAGTGGGCTTAGCACAACTAATAGGGTGGCCACACATTGGCTTTCCCCGGGTCTAATGAAGCGTTGGTAGAGGTCAAAGAAATTATCTTAGTGTATATTACAAGTGTTACAATATATATACGAATTTGTTAGAACCAGCATTTGTTATTAAATTAAAGTATAAGGTTTTTTGTGGTCTCAAGTTCAAATTAAGGGTCAGCCTTCTTGAATGGTTGTCATATTTTAAGGATAATGTAAAATTCAAAAATTAATCTATATTATACTTCAATTTTTGACAGCACAAATCCTGTATAAATACGCAAGAGATACACTGTACGCCTCCCCCGGCATGTCTACTATCCGACGGAGGATAATACGGGGATTTTTACGAAAACCTTTCCTAAGCCAACACTAAAATGCTTCAAATTTAAATTAAAATTTTGAGAAAACACATCACGGCGGAGAGCAAGTATAATGTTCATTTTACCGCGGTTTTTATTTACCTTCTTTGCCTGTCCTCTTTATTTTCGGCTAAAGCATATTTATGTATTTATTTTAATGATTAGAAATGGTATTTATTTGTTATGCAACTGTTTAACTAAAGAATGTAACGTAAAAAAATATTTTTATTGAAAATAATATTTAAAATTAGATATACGTGAAGCAATATAATGACTTAAATGCAAAAGATAATTATATTGACAATTTAAATATAATGTTAGTTACTAAATTTAGCTACTTTTAATCGTTTAAGCATGAAGTCACCAGTTCCATATATCATAACATTCGTAATAATTAATACAAATGTACCACAGTAACGTGTCGTAAAACCACTTCACCCAATTAAGGCTACAAATTTGTGTTCGGATCCATGTGTTTTAATTTAGCTCGACATATAAATAGAAACAGAATGAAAATAATATCCCTCGACATGAACTGCAATTACAGTAAGTAGTAGGGAATTGGAGCAAACGAAATTACGAAATTGCTCTTAATTTAGACGATGCTTTAATTACGCTCCAACAATTAAACACTGCGCGGGCTTAACGACGACGTGCTTAATAAATAGTGCCTTAAACTATATACGATTCATACTCAGTCTATCAGGTTCTTGTGCTTCTTCCAATACTTCTTCGCGTACATCCTCTCTACGTCTTTCTTTTTCTTGTCTCGCAGTTTCTTTACAAAGCTTTCGACGGGGTCCAGGCTTTTCGCTTCTATGACTGGTGTTGGGAGTCTCGTGTTTGCCAGTAAACCTTGTAACGCTTGGAATAGGATCGATAGTAGTGACATGGACAATACGATGTTAAAAGGGTCGAAGCCAATAGAATGGTGATGATATGTTGCTGTACCGTAGGATGTACTAACTCCGTAGGAGCTCGGAGAGTAATGAGAAGTAAAACTCCTTTCAGATGCCGTACTCGGTGCTTCTATTTGCAACTGTTGAGGACCCAAACTTTTTCCCCGTCCTGTCCGGTCCATTGATGCCTTTTTCGGTGATCCATTCAATACTGGGTTCTGATTTAAATTTCTTAGCTTCTGTAGCACCTTTTGCGCATTTGTTTGTATTTTGTTGAGCAGTTCGTTTATTTTATTGCTTTGTTCCTTTACTACTTTTGTGATCAAGTTCTTGACTCCTAGTTTTGGCGAAATGTTTTCTTGTTCTGAATTTACGTGCACAATAAATATTGTAATGACGATGGAAGCAGTTATAAGAGCCATTGCCACAGCTAGGGCTTGAAGAAATATTTTTAAAACCATGAACGCGGTAAAATCAAGATTGTTAATGAAAATATCTTTTTGAGAACACTGTTTTATAAGATTCATTGATTTCGGTTCGTTGAGTATTATAATAGGTTGTCACTTGTATGCAACCCACAATAGCATCTCATTACCTTGACATTCGACCTAACTGATCATACGGCATTTCGCTATTGTTTGGAGAAAGAATATGAGACATGTCATGGTGATTACATTAAATGATTCGATTCTTGTTTTTGTTCGTCTTGTTTATTGCTATTACGCTAATATATCAAGACTTAAGTAGACTATTTATATATCAACTACTTACTTTTAATTAAAATTGCTTTTTATCATCGAATACATTAGATCGTAGTGAATAGGCACATACTGGCCTACATATCTAATTGCATTGTCTTAACTACAATTTAAACAATGAGTTATTTATATAAAATATTTTTACCGGTTTGAACGCGTTTTTTTTTTCAATTTATTTAAAGTACGGCTCGGCGAAACTAATCTAATTCGCGTATTGAAGCGTTAAAATTGTATCATTTATATGTGCAATACTCGCATAACTTAATACTAATCGAACCAACTATTAATATATTGTGCTAACAATGTACTCTAAATAAGGTGATAATCAATTTCACTAGATAGTGTAAAACAAAGTCGCTTTTTTGTCCCTATGTACGCTTCAATATTCAAAACTACGCAACTTTTATTTTTACTACGTTCATAGATTTTCTGTAGTGTATATAGATCACTATTGCACCCGAGCGAAGCCGGGGCGGGTCACTAGTACATTATAAGAAACTGCATAGGAATATTTCGTGTGCACATTATTTTCTGTTAGCGACACCTAGTAATATCAAACATTATTAACAAGGTGTAGCCTCGATAAGATTTTTCTAAGTTTCTAAAACTGTACATAGATGGCGCTACCATATCTGCGCGTAGGCAATGTAAGAAAAATAATGTACTTGTATGCAGTATTTAGTTCTATCAACTTCTAAGAGATGGCGTTTCTTGTATTGTCTGAATAGAAGTTTAACTTTTATACTGTTAATTATAGAAAACAATAATACGTAAAGGAACATAAACGTAAGGTATTTTAGAAAATTGTTGTTAGTTGTATTTAATTAATGTTTAATTTTCCGTAGTTGAACTACATACATATTTGTAAAATAACTAATCTATACTTCTATACTAATATATAAAGCTGAGGAATTTGTTTGTTTATTTAAACTGTGACTAATAGAAGCGAAGATACAGCGGGAAATGTGACCAAAATGGGGGAAAATTTTCATCTCTGTAGGTTTCAGATGCGTACGCTGCGAAAACGGTTCAAGATCCCTAAAAATGTGTATAAAAGAAGGATTTCTCTTTTAATTATTAAAAAAAAGCGATGTCTATCTTTTAAGGTTAACTTGTAAGAATGATGGGAAGGGACGCGATACACGTCGTGGCTAATAGCTTAAGTTTATAAAGATGACGGGGTTTGCAAAAACAATTTTGGATGCCCAAAATAATGATTCTCGAGGACAAACTCGCTGGCACAGCTAGTATGAGATAATTGTCCCAAGCCAAAACTTTACGGCAATCTTTCTCATTGAAACGTTAACGGTATTAACTTTTTTTTTAATTCACAAAAAACTATATTTATAAAAGGTGTCGTTAATTTATTGTAATTTAGACAAAGTAGTTTTAAATACGTCTTTATTATATTTGTGGTAGTGTGAATAAACTAAGACTTCACGTTAAGAATTATTATTATCTTGATAAGTTTTAAAAGGGCGGAAGGGAACGGAGTGGAAAAGACAGTACAAATAGCCGATATTAATTACTCTTTGTACGTAGACATTTTTAAACGAGGGGTTAATTGGAAACTGTCAAGAATAAGGATAGAAGAAGCTATGGAGATGTTAACATAAAAAAATAAGTAGAATTTCAATTCTATATTCATTGTCCAAATGGTCCGACTCATACATAATTTAAATCTGGAAAATGATTTAAAAAGGACAAATTTTGATGTTTAAAACCACCATTATTGGTTTACTTTTCTTTTATAAAAATATTGTTATTTTCCTTTTTTAGTATTTCACTTATTTAATATGTACATTGTATGTTTGAAATCTTTATTATTTTTTACATGTTATTGCACATGAAGGCACTATATAATTTAAAAATCGAAAATAAATGAAATGAAAAATGTTATTTTCTATTTTTAAATTATGAACATTGTATCGTTTGTGTTCACCGTTACAAAAAATAAACTACTTATTTCGAATAGCCAAACATTGTTCCAAATTACACTGCGATCAACTAACAACATAAAAAATTGTTTAATTTTATCAGTCCAGTTAATCAATGGGAGTGGTCTAGTAATATTTAACAAGGCGTCGTGCCAAAATCAATTTTATCTTTATCTTCACGTCTTAGGATACAATTTTCATTGGTTCTGTAGCATATTGAGTGATTTAAGCAAACTATAGTATTATAACGACGGTAGATTTATTAGTAGGTGCGTTCTGACGCAATTAATTCAGTATTAAGATGTTAGAATATTTAAAACCCCTTCACTTCACGATACGTTGATTAATTGTCTTTTTGTAGGACAAAAAACTGTTTAATAAGAGAATATAAATGAGCTGTCCGCGTAATTACAGTAAAAATATAATTTAAGCTAATTAGCACCTTGTTAGTGTTTTTAATGTCTACGTTAGTCAAAACATGTTTTATCAGTACCTTGTTTTATTAGTTGGAAATGTTTTTCAATTACAAAATTAATAAAATTTATCAAGTTCCTACACAGCCCACGGTAAGCCGGTATTAGTCGTTTAAAATCAGATATAATGTAATTATTGCCACTCAAGTGGGTATTTGCACATATGCAAGCAATGCAAACGTATGTGCCATACTTTTTAAATTTCAATTAACAGAAGTCAATTATACGCATGTGCAAAATACACGACAAAGTCAGTCAAAATGTACACTGAATTTCAAATATATTGAGGTGACCCGGCAGCCACATAAATGTCATAAATAATCCGCTCGATATCAACTAGCTACGATAAGATCGGTAAATGTAATCCAGTGCGTTTTCAATTTAGCGTCGGCTCTGAAGTTAAAAAAAATAATTTAAAAAGTAATTAAAAAACGGCATAAATCCTCCAGCTACGCCTCGTGAATAAATAACAAAGCCTAATTTTTACGACTAAACGTTATTAATCGTGTATTTTATTAAGCATTGCGGGAATTAATGAAGTTCCTGCTTCCTTAAATTCGTAATTAACAACAATAAATACTTAGAAGTGCTGTCTGCAGTTCACCCGAGTAGTACATATTTAAATAAAATATTTTAAAGGTTCAAACGCGATATATTTGTCTATCCGTTACTATGGCTGCTGCACAGGATCCGATACATCGGGCCGCAGATAAAAAATAATAATAAGATTTCACTAATATATTTCGCGTTTTAAACCGTTAAAGTCCATTATTTGTACTAAGAAGTCCTATTTACATTATACCATTTATACGTTATTACGAATTCGTATTAATATTTCGAGAAAATCCTAGTTATATGTAAATCCACTACATGCTTGAGTAGCTTATTCATACATAGAGAGGCAACCGCCTCCAAGGCTCCAACACAGGGAAATGTAAACTGGTTTTGATTGGGCAGGTGACATTCTTATATTATTCATACTACAAACTCAAACAAACAAACAAACTCTTAGCTTTATATATATAAAGCTGAAGAGTTTGTTTGTTTGAACGCGCTAATCTCAGGAAGTACGGGTTCGAATTGAAACTATAACACTTTGCGATGTGACTAATAGGAGCGAAGATACAGCGGGAAATGTGAAAATGTTTGGGAAAATAATTCATCATTGTGGGTTTCCGTGGCGTATCCTGCAAAAACGGTTCAAGATACTCAAAAAATATGTATGATGAGAATGATTCCTCTTTAAATGGTCTAAAAAAAGTCCGCGACGCTGTATGCCTATCATTTTAAGATTAACTTTCAAGAACGACAAGGAAGGGACGCGGCCGACGTCGTGGTTAACAGCTTAAGTTTATAAAGATGAAGAGGTTTGCCAAAGTAAATTTGGATGCCCAAATTAAATATTCTTAGCGGACAAAGTCGCTGGCACAGCTAGTTATTTAGATATCTACATGCTAATAAGTATATTGCAAGGTTTCCGTTTCGTGCGCCCCAAAACGTTTCAGGATACCTAAACAATATGCATGAAAAAAAATATTCTTCTTTAAATAATCTAAAAAAAGAAGATAAATGAAATGACAAATAAGGCATCAATTTCTTTAAAAAATGTAAAAGACCCGAATAATACTTCTACTTCTTCTTCTTAAGTGTTAACAGGTGACGGTGGGCAGGTGGGTTCGTCTAGTTGATTGTCCAATTAATTCTGAATTTAGGACCGTTTTGTTATAAACTGAATTTGGTTGATTGTTTAACGATGTATTTTACGATTGCGTTTTTTCGTATTCAAATGTAAGTAATAAAACAGTCTGGGAATTATTTAGTAAACATTATTTTGCCCTATGGTAAATAAGCCTCAGAAGCAAGTGATGTCCCGCGCAGTGAATATTTATTGTATCATACCTTTTTATTATCTATAAAAATATAATATAATCTCCGTAGTCAATTTTATAATGTATATATACGACTAGTGGATACATACATACCTACTTCTTGCGTTTAATACTGGAATATCACATTTAAAAAGATTAACACAACAACCCTATGTGTATTTATATTACGCCCAATTTATTGGCGTTAATATTTCGAAAATTTTAAAAGTTTGTCTAAATCTTGTGGTAAGTTGTGTAAAGAGTAAAATAATAGAACTTTTGCAAATAGCGTTTATTTCTTTAAACTATTACGTAGAACTTAAATTAAACATCATCAAATCAAAAGTCAAATCTTATATGTAGGTATCAAATATGTCTATCTAACATCACAATGCATCTGTGCCATAGACACAAATCAATTCATACAGAATCTCAATTTAAATCGGAATAATCCGACATCATCACGTCATTGTGTGGAATTTAGGTCAAGCGAAACGCACAAAATTATAATATATATGAGAGCAGTAAAAAGAACGGGGAATAAAAGACCCATTTTTTCATATTTTCAATCATCGAAATTTTCAACAAATGCACTACGCACTTCACATTATATTCGAATAAAACCTGAGTGTTTTAACTGAAAAGCGGTCATCGGAAATAGCTGGAAATAAAAATTGTGGTCCTTCACCAATATTATTTTAATTATACTTACCAATGCAAAATGAACAAACAAATTTTTTTTCTCAAACAACAGCAAAAAAAACACCGAACACAAATGTATTACTAAAGAATCTTATATCTAACCGCATAAAAAAACAAAGTTATGCAAAATTAAAATAAATTTACGTCTTCGACTAATAATGAGTAATAAATTTAATACTCCACAAAGTTAACAAAGTTTATGAATAATTCTTAGACTACAACTAAGTACTTTTAATTCAGCCTTCATTAAGCGTGGTTAGCGTTTGCTGTTGCCGCAGCTACCGTAGCGTTAGTGACGGGTGGAAGCGGCACCAGCAAATCTGCCAATCGCCCAGCTTCACGCAGCCCAGATAAGAATGCGCCATGTACCGTTGCAGGGTAGTTTCGCATTGTGTGTTCACCTGTAAAAATATAACATGTCAATGGTATCACTTACACATAGAACGTTTAATTTTACACCTTTGTGTTAAGGTCGATTTTTTTTTGAATAAGAGATTTATATAGAGTTGAATAGAATAAAGAATTAGTTTATCAAGTCTAACAGTAATTCAATTTAGCTCAGTACGCGCTTGTGGGGTTCGGAGTCAAAAGTTAACTTACCAGCAAAGAAAAGCCTGTTTTCCCCGGATGCGTCTGGCACAGGTGCGGCTAGAAGATCGTAGTCAGCCCCAGATGAACCGACAGCCACAAAACTGTACGAGCCACGAGCAAATGGATCAGCCCGCCATCTGTTGGTGAAATATTAAGTGGACTACTCAATTATTATTAAACATCTGATTAGCTATCAGGAAAAGTACCAGGCGAGCAGAAGATATGAGGAGCTCTGTTTCAATCTTAAAAGCGAAACACCGTATACCGTAGCGTATAAAGCACGGCCCAACGAGGCGATTACCACACAATTGCGTAGACGCAAATGTACATACATCGCTCTAGTTTATGTTGGTCGCACAATGCGCCTGAATTGCGATCCGCATACCGAATCATACATCAGGCCGTTCTCGCGAACGTCATACATTATGGAGAGCTTCCAAGATCCTTTTAATAGAAAATGCATGCTGTTTGACTGTGTTTATACCTTAACAATGTCTACATAATAGGGTAATATTACAAAAAATATACTTAAGCATTTATTACAGGAAATTAAATGCAAGGGTTTAATGCGTAATTAGATAGTGAAGAGAGATGCGGGTATGGGGGGCTGCTCCCTTTTTATGTATGGGGAGTGGGGCAGGAGGGATTCCTCAAAGATTTTTTATAAGATATTTTTACTCAATATAATCTTACCGTGTCACCACACATTCCTTCGGCTGAGGCACAGCTGCATGCCCAAAAATGCTCTTCAGCACAGCGATACACCGACCCACGATGACGTCATCGGTCACGTTCTCCATTACAGCAGCTGCTTCACCAGCCACCAGAGCCAGAAGAACTGGGGCACTGTAAAGGTTCCAGAACAAGAACAATTCACCTGGGGACAAAAGAAAAAGCTTAATGTTTAAATATATCGAGTTTTAAACCGTTAAAGAGTTTTATTGTAAGAAGTAATAAGTTTAATATTTGTATTTCTAAGTGTTTATATGGTAATATGAATTATAAAATGAATAAGGATAATTCCACTAGATTAGAGACAATTAAAGCGATTCCATTTCGAGATTCCAAAATCGGGCTTTATTGTAATCTAAAAGTTGTAAATCTCAGAACAAAAGTTAATCTAACTATGTATAGAGTTAAGCCGAACAACCTTTTCAGGCTTCCACGAGGCGGGCGAGCTTAAAACTTGTAGGACTTTTGTGTTGCGGAAAGTGTATTAGGAACACATAGGGGAAACTGGAAATTATTTCATTGACACGCTATTACGTGGAAACAACTAACATTTAATATCTCTAAAATTTAAATTCAATCTACTTGTACGAGACAGCTATATTCATAATGTATTGATAGTCCCATTAAAAATAGAGCCAGTCTTTTAGGAATTATTATCATATAGAAATTCTTTATATACGCTTATTAATTATTTTATTTTGTATATGTAATTCTATGTATCCATGTTCTTATGTCTATGTTTGTGCAATGAAGAGTTTATTATTATTATTATTATTATTATTATATTATATTATTAACGCTATACAATCAAATATTAAAAATTCTTCTCATTTTCCCTGTTATTGTTTTTGAAAGACAATAAGTTAAAAGTTACAAAATACGCCAATCAGCTCGCGATTTTTCGAACATCAAGAATAAATCCTTAAATGCGAATTCCCACATAACTCTGATACGCTTGTTACAAATAAGATAGGCACCAAAAACACTACCATCAAGAATACAATTGGAATGTTCGTAAAGTGACTCCACACATAGGTCACTTTTTAAATAAATACAAACGCTGAAATCATCTACTGTATGTATTAAGTGTAAATTAATTGAAACACAAAAAAAGGCAAATTTTGTAATGATAAAGAAATAAGTAATGCTACTTGCGTACAATAAATCATGTCAGTTATAAAAAATATATGAAAGAGGAAGTTGTCACAAATTGTAAAAAAATAGAAATTCTTGATCCTGCGTATGAAGCAAGAAAAGAAAAATAGTCTCGGTCGTATGACGTTATCGTGTCTGCGGCCGTCCCTAATGAAGTGAGTGAAGAAGGTGTACTAAGGCATAACGTAAAAAATGTCTTGTCCTGGTTCGGTACAGTGATTTATCGCTAAAGGCTCCCCTCGGGGTTGCTCAGTGGCGTTAAATTATTCAGCTTTTAATTCGTTATCGCGTCGGCCACCGCTGTTTCTACGTTTTACACTATTTACACCGGGAAATAATTTACGAGTGGCATCCTCGGGGAGCCGAGATGTGTCGGCTAATTTGTGGCTTTTGGCTGTAGTTTAATATTGATATATTTCGCGTGGGCTGTCGCTGAATGTTATAGCGGCTGGAATTATTTACTTCGTTTGGAGCCCTACTGTAAAAAAGGGAAAGATCTTGTCGATTTCCTTATACGAGAAGCTTTCCAAAATGGCCGCCTTATACAATTTATTATAATATAACTTGGTTACTTATAACTCAATATATGTATAAGAGCTATTTTATAGAAGATCTTAGCTGTATCTAATATTTTGTTAGCTTTTGTACAAAACGTAACATTCTTTCAATAAATCGCATCTGTATTCATTTTATCGTAATATCAAATGAGTTACCTCGACTCGCTGTTGTCGTCCCAACGTGACCAAAGAGATTCGCGCTCGGATCCCAGAAAATGCGTTCAAAGCATAAAACTACTTTGTTCAAGTTGCCGTAACCCAGCCGTTTTATCGCAGCAACCTAGGAATATACGTATATTAAATGTATGGCATTAAACTTAAATTAAGAAATGGATATTAACTATTTAGTTGTTGGGATCTTTTCACTTTTAATAAAAACAAATCTATTACACTGAGATTCTAATCAGAAATGCAGGAACAAAACATTAATAATGTAAGTAGAATCAAAATACTTTCTACACAGTACAGTGGTCTCAAAGCAAACCAGAATTAGTTCGTTCAAAGTGTAACGAGCAGGTAACTTCGCACAATGTAACCGGTAAGTTAGCAAACCTTCCAATCAGGCAGCGGCGGGTCGAACTGGACAAAGTTCTGCTGATTCTGGCCATTGCTCGCCACGGCCACTTTGAGGACGCCCAACGGCAGTGTACAGAGGACCACGTCGCCTGTGGAAAACACGCACTACATTGTAAATTATAAAATATGATTTCACTATTGATTGTAATACAAAACTATATAGTAAACAGATAAATCGTGGGACGGAATAATTACAGCGGTACAAATATTTCAAACCATTCGTTATTGTTTTTTTTAATCTTGTCGTCATCTTACACTAAACCGAAAAGAATGAAAATATCTCTACAAAAGCGCCGTATCAAAGAATTTTATTCGACCAGTATATTTGTATACCCAATCCGCTAAAAATGCCGCTTTCAAATCTTGCCAGATAGCAATAACTGCCAGGCTGACACACCCTGGGGCAATGAAACGGTTTTCTTAAAAAGCGCTACTCCCGAATTGCGGACCGGCAGCGGGTGACCGCTCATCAAACGCCGTTTCTATAAAACGAAGGTGCCCGCGGCGCAATCGCCGTGAAAGCCGACGCGGGATGGGTTCTTTCAATCTGTCTGTTACAGTACGAGTTACAGTTACGAATGTTATATGACAAAGCGTTCATATTAAAGTAAAAAAAACTATATACATTGAAACAGGATACAGTTAAACTATTATATACTATTTGAGTTACAATATGTTTAAATTTCAAAACTTATCATCTTTGGCCACAATAGACTAAATAATAATTTAACAAAGAAATCATCATTAAAGATTTTTTTGTTAAAAATTTACATTTAATGAAAACTACTTGCCTTAAGTATTGATTTGCACTAAAATAATAATGTTGTAGCAAAACTAACTACCGACGTGCGCCCTACGTTTCTAAGACTAATATAATTTCTATATATATATTGAAACAAGATTTTTTAATTATAATTATTTATCATTTATTTCATTCAGATATCCTTATGTTTAATTTCTTTAAAACAGTCACAATTTCAGTTGAATATGAGCGGCGCCACTTTTAACATATTCGTGTCGGTTAAATTTCGTCGAAGCAACCCGTCCTAACAAAGCACCGGCCTGCCAAATAAAGCACTCTCCACTCTAATTGTGAGGTTTTTCCTTTGTGACACTACAAGTGAATGAACACGGTTTATGTTTCTGTTCATCTATTTTAGAACAACTAGAAGTGCACCGTTTTTGTCGGTGAAAATGTTACGGGAAAAAGCCAAGTTATGTGAATTTTTGTTTAGATTTTAAGGTTCTATACACAATACGGCTTATTTGACTTTTCTCTTTCTTACAGTACATATTCTAATTTTTTAATATGTCAAACATCAGAAAAACACAAGACTATACAAATAAAGTACTAAGATTTTTCATTTCACGTAACAACATCAACAAGATGCATTTTCATAGCTGGTATTATAATAAGTAATACACAATAATGAAGACGAGTTTGCGTGTCTCAACACAATTTCCATTTCGAACGTTGTTCCCATTTTCCAAAGTAACCGGAACCGTATTTTTTGGCTCATCAAAGTAAAATTAGCGACTTAGACTTGCAAATCAGCCGACGATAAAGAAAATTGCAAGACGAAGGAGCGCCTTGTAAATTCTGATAGCGTCCCTTAATATGACCACTGACGCCCTATTTTCCGCGTGTTTCCTCCATATTTTAACTAAATCTAATTTTTGCTTTCGGAGCGAACCGACGAGCCCGCTGCGGAGAATAAAATGAAGATAGGTCACTCAATTATACAGTGATGTAAAGGAAAATAGATTTGTTGCGTATAAAATACGACTTCTGCACAACTCTAAGAATGAAAATAAAGATTAATTACCGCGTACAAAGAACATTTACTAACAAAGACTTTTTAAAAATGGTAATTAAAGCACTCTAGAAACGAAAGATTCTAAAAAATGCTATACTTAAACATGTAACATTATTTGTGTTCAAAAATGATAAGAAAGATTTAGAGAAGTATACAGTTCTTAAAGATAACTTTAATTTCCTTGGCATTGAGCCAAACTAACAATCCCCCGCCATAATGACCATATTACCCACAATGAATGGTAAACGATTCGTTTCGATTCATATCCGAATAAAACACGTGTAAATTACATTGGAATCAATCGACAGATTATTGATTGCGATCATACGTTAATGTCGTCGGCGCATAATTTAGTCGCGAGGGGCACGGAGCGGCGATTCCTACGTGTTTTAACGATATTCCATGATTAATTGCATTATTAATCAAGCGACATACATTTCCGTTGTACGCGGTTAAGAATCACGAATAGTGGTCGAAGAAATTTCGAAAAAAACAGACGGGACGTGATCATTTAGACATTAGCTTAACTTCGTTTAATTGTATCTGAAAACTTTAATATTTTGCACATGATGGGACTATAAAAAATTAAAAATCTATTTTAAATTGAAACCATTTTACCATACAGACAAGACTTGACCCGGCATCTACAGCGTTGCGTGCTGTTGCTCTAACCGATTAAGCTACCGTGTCTTACACGTCACCATCGAATCTTTTCAGCTTACCTTACATGGACCTCGCACTTAATGTATTTACAACCTTAACGCTTACATCTTAAGGTTCAATGTCTCATGCTTTGCATAATAATTTGTGTCTACTAATAATAATTAGATATTCAGTTAACTAAATAAGTAGGTAGTTTGTATTATAAATACGAGATTTTTTTGGCTTTTGATATTCTGAAATCATCTACATTCTAACGACGATATAATAATTCAAGAAGGCCCTTTGAATATCTTATCTTACCTTTGTAGGTCTGAGTCTGTCCAGGTGCTCTAGGATTCACAGCTTTCACCGTAACCCCTGGTCCTCCGTAGGATATTTCAGTGATGGATGTGCCCAGCTTGATATCCAAACCATCAGCCAACGCGACAGGAACACACGAATAGCCGTTACGTACTGAAATAAAATAATACGACTTAGCATGTATAATACCTATACATATATGTATAGACGGTTAAAAAGCTCAATTTTTTTTATATTAAAATTGAAGCTAATTGGTTTTTACATAGCTGTTAAATAAATAACCATTGTTGCTTCTTGTTTTGCAAACAAAAAATAAACAAATCATTGCCACTGCTGTATTCATTTGTATCGAATGTGAAACAGTGTTTGAATCGCGTTTTTACTAAAAGTATTATTGTTACTCTTCCAAAAAGGATAAAAAGCTCATTCTAGGATTTGGCTATACATACTGTTTGTAGTTTACGCGAATAGTACACATTTAAATAAATCACTTTAACGGTTTAAAACGGGATATATTTCAGTTAAACTTGCTTGATAATTATTTATAACTACGGCCCGACGTTTCGGCTGCTTTGCAGTAGCCGTAGTCACGGGGGGTTTTAAACTGTTATAGTGTTTTATTTAAATGAACATATATTGTTCGTCCTTAATTATCAATAATAAATACATCTTGATACATACTACAAATCACGAAAGATATATTGATAAAAATGTTAAGAAACGTGATATTTTTAAAAAGTAATAGAGCGCAAGCAGACCTCTATTCCATTACTCTAAAGGCAGTTGAAAACGCAGACAAAAAGCTACTAAGCTAAATAGAATCTGCCTTTTATAAAACTGAAAATTTTAGACGAAAATTGTATTCACCGCGTCATCTAAAGCCCGTGACTGGTGACTTCCGCTTTCCACAATATATCACAACATTTATGACCTGCTACAAAATTAACGAGCGAACAGACGTCACACAAAGGGACCCTACGTTGTAGATAATTAATTTGAATATACAGAAATTAAAAGCGAGATACAAAAAAGGCGCACAGAGGGCCCAATCTCCAAAGTCCGAATTATATTTTCAATTAAGGGACAATAAAGTCTGTGCGCCAGTAATTATGTCAAACGTGCACTGACCCCCCATCGGCCTAGTTTCGAGATGGATTTAAATTCAATTACAATATACTCGCGAGATACGATTAAATCCCCGCATTCATACAAACGTTTTGATCTTGTGTTCAATTACGAATTCGTTTAATGTGTAGATATAAGCTTTGAGATCGGCGACGACCAATCAAATATGTTTCCGAATCAGCGAAGCCGGGGCGTCTTATCTTTTAATGTTATAGTAAAACAATTTTACATATGTTTCCAACGAAAATTATAACATTTAACTATCGTTAGTATTAGTCTCGTTAGTAGTATTTGCATGTGAAAGATTTTGAAAGAAACACAAGAAAACACTCCCATCGCTGTAATGATTGCAATGTAAGGCTAATAATCAACAGGGTGTGGGTTTGATCCCCACTGGTTCTACCATTTTTCTGGTGTGGGTGCTATGGAATGGGTGGTAGGTATATCGAAATTCCGTCCAGGTCACGAACCACCGTCCACGGATGAAGAAGCCGTAAAGTTTAATCGTGTTTCGGTTTCAGTTCGGTATCCGAATATCCAAAGCCATTCGGCTTAGGTCAGCTTGTTTAGATGCTATAGGCTGAAGAATTTCACCTACCATCAAGTAGCAGCTCCTCCATCAAGAGACGTAAGACGCTAACTATGACATAGCTAGGCGTAAATCTTTTGAAAATTGCTCCCATATCATAACTTAACGATACTAGTGTTGTGACATTACGAACGATAGCCGACGCATATTACTGCATATACAAACACAATATCGAATTATGGATATTGCATATACGAATCGCAAGTCCGTTAATTGATGAGTCGAATGCGAAGTGTGGCAGGCGCCGCGACGTCATTAATATTAATGAAAAATGTATTCGAAAATAACGGGAGCCGAGTGACATAGGGCGCGAATTGATTAAAAATTATACATCTGTTAAAACAATGTCGGATAAGTTAATTTATCACGATCAAAATACATCAAACCAATGATGCGGTGGAAATTAATCATCGAAAATTAGTTGAAACTGATATTTTGATTGTATCGCTGTATCAGCGATGTCATTGATATTTTTGTATGCTCGTAGTATAACTCGTATCTTTAGGTATATAATGATTCAATTAGGAATATTTGTCAAGGTCGAAATTTCTACTTAAACTTAATGTGTTGAAGCAATTCCTTATAAATATTTCTTCTGAAAGCTTAAATACTGAAATAGAAAAATAGCGTAATTCTTTTGATGTATTTTAAAAATTGACGGGAAACGTTGGCTGGCACTCTGTACTTTCCAATTAGGTTGATAGCCATGAGCAGAGTTGTCTATTGTAGTTTAATTTAATAACTTTGAGTGGATTTCTTAGGGTCTCTCCACACCTGTCCGTCGGTTGAAATACCAAAGCAGGTATAGTGCGACAGTAAGATACTGTACCAATAAATTTTGCGATAAAAATATTTATTGCATATAATTTTGAAATTCTTCATCTTATACTTAAATACAAAAGATACATTCTTTAACAATAACAAGATATAAAAGGAATGAAAACATTATAAAATGAAAAAAAAACACACTAAACTACCAATTTCCGATGGATTTTTTTTTTGTTTGCGATCTTTTATTGTAATTTTCTTTTACAAATAGCACTATTATTAAGTGCCTCTACGTTAATACAAAGTGGTTTAGTACCCACCTTGAGTGCTTTTAATTTATCCCCCTTTTTATTTTAATTTACTTTGAGACAAAATGTGGCAAGACCCTCAATGACACTGGCAACATCGAGTCTTAGCGGCGCTCGTGACAGGAGTAGCAACTTGCAACTTAATATTTTATGTCCTCACTATTCTCAAGTGGTCAGAAATTGAACAAAGACTCCAAACTTTGAGTAATATTAAGTTAATCTTCTTTGTGGAAGAATAATTCAGTTTAACATTCTCGTTGTGATACTAGGCGTTTCTTGCTTTTTAATGTTATATTATTTCTGTTCTTAAGTGTCAGCCTTAATATATGTTTGGTTAACAATTCTAATATTTCCAATTGTGTGTTGTTTTATTATTCCTTATAATTAACATATTACTTTTTATCAATTTCACTTTTATGCAGTATATAAATATAAAAGTGAGTCATTTTATACTAAACATCAAATTTAAAAACACACAATGTAGTCATTCAATTTGTCTAGGCAGCACTAACTCAGTTAACTGACCACAACAGTAACTTTTTGATACTCGCTACTGTGTAACATAATATAACGATATCAACTAGCAAAGTTGCAATTTGACATCAACATATTACACAGTTTTCTACGATCAGTTCTTAACAGAAAATTTTGACTGTTTTGTTTGCCACAGGCACTGTATTTGACAATTTTAAAAATAAATTAAATTTGTATAAACATTAAGTTACAATTTTAAGTCACTAATGTCTTGTAGGTGAAAATATGATCAAAAGTCATATAAATTGCAGTTAGGCTACTCTAGCTCTAGCGGCCTGGTTTATAGTTTTAGTAAAACAATTAATGTGCTACAAGTAATGTACCAATATATTCGCCTAACTATTTTGTGATTGGCAAATATATACGATTAATTAAAAACGCTAAACGTACGTGCATTTTAAATTGCTTTTTATACTCGTTATAAAATCAATCATGCACCTTTTCGGAGTCGATTGAAACTTTAAGTGCTTTGAGTGTTTATTCGCTAGCGTTTAAAAGAATATTGCTCGTTTTCATTGTATTTTTATTTAGTGCTTTTTGACAGAATGAACACATTGGATATGAAATTATTTGGATTTTTCAGGTTCCACACCCAAACACTTTTCACCACCAAAACCTATTTCATTTTAAAAGATTTTTTATAAATAAATATTTTAATATTTCGAAAACACTCCAAGGAAACAACTCAAAAACATTGCATAGCTGACGACATCAAAAATAAGATCTTACATGATTCACTTTTCAGAAATGTACATAAAATCTCTATTTTTTTAAATGACAATATAAATAACTTCAGTGCACTATTTAAAGATTAAATCTCTGCGCAAAGGCAATGCAAAAGAACGTATATTAGAATTAGCAAGATTTACGTGGGACACGTTTGAATGTGCCACAATTCACCTTGAATCAAAAACACAACAGCCAGGGCTCGTTACGTTCAAATCCTAACGTATGGCAACCCTAAGCATAATAAAAGGAGACCGCTAATGGGTGGAGACGAATTGTACTAATATTTATGTAGAATTAGGCAAAATCTCATAATAAACGGGATATGTAGGCTTTGGTGTAGTACCTACTCGTAATTACTTTTTACGGTACAGATGTATTATCGATCTACTTTGTATTTGAATATTGGAAAATCAATAATAGACTAGAAATGCGATTAAACTTCGAACACGATGGTTCGGACGGAATTGGAAATTTCCAGACGAAGTTCAACATGTTTCAGAAAAGTTGTATGTATAAATACATAAATAGTATATAATGTATATCAATAGACCAGCTCTTTGTAAACTAGATTAAAATTTAAAAGTCCCACCATAGTCACTCTTTGGAGTCATTTTAATTTATTTTAATTTAAATTATTACTTGTGAGCTAAGTACATATAGATAGTGTTATTCTAGCACTAGGGTTAGTGTCGACAACTATGTTAACTAATTCAACCCACCCAAGAGCCAATTGTGTGTATATGTGAAAGCACTTTATGTACAGCGTAGCTGACTCCTAAAATGGTCCTCTGAACGAGTTAAAATAAATCCAATCATGGACATAAAAGTTACATTTAACAAGACCGCCCGAGTTCGACTAGAAATAGCAATTTACTTTACACTCGCTTACATTGTATGAACGTCATTAAATCGAGTTGTTCTTCGCGACTATTGCACTATATTTTATGCCACTATGTGACTGGAATTTTTCTCATTATCCTGTTGTGGAAATATAAATAATGGAACAATTTATTATAAACTATTAGCTCTTACATACAGTTTTGCTATCATAGTAATTAAAACGATCTAAAATGTATGAGAAATTCAAAACAAAGCATTTGAGAACTTTCTTTCGTAAAGGTATTTTTATAGACCCCTTTTGATTTGATATTTTTTCGCATAATGTATGTATATTTTTTTGTGTTTTGTAATTTTGTGTGATCCTGATTGATCACAAAGTGATCCAAATATGAAAAACTGTATGGAATTCTTTAAAATACATATTTTACTAGATACATTATCTTCAAAATACTCAATTTCTAAGGAAATTAACCTCTTTGCTGGTTTGATAGAAGCACAATGTTACATAATATAGTGTTTTATACCCAATGCAATATTTATTAAAAGTTTGAAAATGCACGTCCCGGACCATAAAGGAAAAATTCCGAACCGCCACAAAGCCGAAATTGCTGAGGGTCTAAAACTGACAATGAGTGCCGTGAGTGTACCAACTATGCAGATAATATGGTGAATTGGATCTTCTACATAGAGGTTTACTTACTTTGGTATTTATTTGCATCAATGGGAATTGTCTTTGTTATATTATAATACGCACAGCGGAGGTGTATTACAATATATAATCGTATCTATCTTCTTAAATTCCTATCATTCATTTTATACTTAGATATGTGCGGTCCGTTACATTGGTTAGTGTGTAACTTTTAAAAACCAGGGTTTATTTGACGCTGCTCGAGCTAAAGTGGCTTAATTACAATAAATACGATACATGATTTTCAATAAGGATGAAAATGAAAATGCGCAAATATCTTTGGCAAAAATGAATTTGTACTATTATTTGTGTAGGAATTATGTTAAAGACCACTGTGCTCTTGTAGATTAACATTTTAGACTATAAAAATATAAATAAGTCAAGTCATAAAATTGCAGTTAGGCTATTCTGACTCTAGCAGCCTCATTTGATCATGTATTTTTTACTATTTATATAAAAGATGTAGGTCTCATCATACCGAATTCCATCAATTATAAATATGATTCAATAACCCACCTCCAATCACTTGGCCAATTTTAGACAGTCCGTAATTTGCTAATTAATTATTAAAATTTCAATCACTCGCCTATCGGGAATTGATCTGTGCCAATTAAAATTTGATTCACTAAATATATTGTGATCTCCCAAAGTACCGCTCAGATAATATTTTAAATGCAAGAATGAAGACTTCTGTAAATACATAATAGCAGTACCTACTTAATATATTTAAACTAGCTGTTCCCGCGACTTTGTCCGCGTGGAATAGTAACTTGGGGTAGAATTTTCAATTATTTAGGCTGTTTATTAATTTACGTAAGGGCGTACTTATGGCAGCCAAACTATGTTGTAAGTGCTACTCTGCCGCAACACTTTTACCTCACATCACTCCTATTCCAACTCCCACTCTCATTCCTAGACTCACTATCACACTCACTCTCATTCCCACTCTTATTCCCAAAAAGCCAAATAAGAAATTTTCATTGTTCTAGCTTCAAAAACCACGAATTTCCACACAAACTTTCATCCCCTTTTTCAACCCCTATCAACCCTTTTTTAGCATTAAATTAATGTGGCCTTTTTTCTCAGGCTCTAAAATATCTGTGTACCAAATTTCATTTAAATCAGTTCAGTAGTTTCGGAGTTAAAGCAGGACAGACAGACAGACAGAGTTACTTTGGCATTTATAATATTAAGTTTAAATTATGTTTCGATCCTATTTACTTTGAATTTGTATATCTCTGAATCTCTTGTACCTCTTTTGCTGCTGATTTAGCGATCAGCAATTTAGGTGCATTACATCATCGTGCAATATTATCTGATACTGTCATTTTGAAATATTACATCGTAAAGTTACGTTTTATGCCGGCGAATGACAATATCAATATTTATTGAGCTCGGTTAAGTATTTAAGACTAATCTAATATAAATCATATTATGCCGAGTTATACTGTACCCTAATAACTTTGCTACCGATATTTATTGATGGATTGCGTACCTTTCAGAATAAGAAATAGTAGCTTATTTTTTTATTGACTTCAGAACAACCATTTTCATTTCTTGTTAAAAACCAAAACAATACAAACTCTTTAAACTTTTAGTAATAAAGTTCCTTTACAAGCACGTGGTTTTCAAAGATTATTTTTCTGTCTATTTAATGTCATATTAGTTAATTAAAATAAAATAAACTCAACAGATCTATCAGACAGACTGTAAAAAAATGAAAACTTTAATACTTTTCAAATTTTGCACATAATGACATTATATACATAAAAATTTATATAGAGCAAAAGCACGGAATTAATTTTTAATATGAATACCCTATAAATATCTAGATTTTTCTGTGTCGATTTAATAGAATCGATGAAATTGATGTCAGGTTGATGTTTATTTTCTGTATAAATATATAACATTATCCAAGTACTAACTAAAGCAAAACTACGTAGAACGCATATACGAGTACCATATAGGTAGTAGACAGTTTGAAAAATAAGTGACCAGGAATCCAGTCGACTCTGAAGGTGAGCCGTTTGCGATAAAAATAACGATCGATCTCGACCTCCGCAACAAGGAGGGAACTCCTCGTGAGAAAAATTCAATTTAAAATACAATGTTGAAGGTGAGCGATTCTTTGAAGATAAACTTTCGATTAGGCCACGTTAACTTTTAACTGAAACTACTTTTGAAAGGGTACTTTTCTCTACTTTGAGAACGAGAATATGGGCACGTGAACTTCACCAATTTTGTAATATAGGGTATTTGGAATTTAGTTTCCACATTTTAGTTATTATTATGTTTTATTTAGAAATTTATAAAGACCGGAATGAAAACTGTTTATAGTATGTTAAACAAGATAAAAAAAATATTGTGTTCCTCCAAAAACATAGAATTACTTTACCACTTCATCAATCTTACATCCAAACCTTATAGCGCACAACCGTCATGTTTTAAATTAGAGTTTACCAATTCTCACTTCACTCTTTATCCATCAAATGACTCAACAGGTTTTTCCTTTTGACATTTGGTGGTCGAGCTGGCTAATTGGACCATGTTATAATTAGTGTAAGCGTCAAGCTAATCGAGAGGTACTTGACAAGGGTCGGGGTCACGCCGCTTGACCCATTATCCGGACAGACGCGCCTTCAGCCCTTTGACGATGCCACATTAACATTGAGAGGCTTGTTGATCTTTCGCTCTCCTCTGGGCATTTCGGTCTGCATCCGAGAAGACCAAGTTAAACCCTTTCTTTTTATAAATCATAAAATAGTTATTTGATCTATTCGATTTAAGCAAACGAAGTTTAGTTCGTTTGAGGTAAGAAAAGAACAACATTTTAATGATCAACCGTCTACAGGATAGAAGGCCGACTCGTCGAAAGATCTGAGGAAAAACAATGACGAAATAAAGTCGTGATTTAATATAAGCTATCAGGCCACGTTGAATTTAATCAGCGTCAACGGATCCCGGAGCGAAAGATATTCAAATCGAGACTTGATTCCGGGCAAGGATCAGAGGCAAGGCAGCGGAATCGCCGAATAAAACTGTTGATTACATTCCGTTCCGCGCAAAGTTACGCTTCGTCAATCGGAATTTTATTTACCCTTTGAAAAACAAATATGACGGCTTTTAATTTATGAACGCGCCGGGCGCTCATCATCCGGCGCTGCGGGCTCGCCAGATGTAAACTTCGCCTGTGCCCTGATTTTTACTCGATTCTGCATTTTTGACAAAGCAAACGGGTTTATTAAATAAATACAGTATTGTATTCTGAAAATTCATTTTAAATCCCTTCATTGCAACTATTTTATAAAATGTATTCAAGATCTGTTCTGAACGAAGTTTATTTTACAAAATTAATACATATATGTATTAAAAAAAACAATGTTGACCCTTATCAATGATATACCATAATTAGTGGCAAGTATATTTTCCAGACCGCTGTACCAAGTTTAATAGAATTTATCAATTTATATGTTTACCCTCAGGTAAATCCAGGTTTGAATCTGAAGTCAAACCTGGGATCTTAGAGTTACGTAATTTAATGTACATATTTACTATTCAGGTGGAAGCGCAATACCTACATTTTAAGTAAGTTTATATCTAGCAACACACGCACGAAACGAAGTACAAAACTAGATGTGCTTTTTGCAGCAGTTGAATTTACGTCGAAAACGATGCAAGCAAATGGAGATAAGGAATCTGTCAAATCAAGAATATATCATTTGACAGTTTTATTGCATATACAATATTACCATAAATCATTGTTGATAAGTGACCATTGAAATTGAGTCAGATTATTTTGTTGAAGTTTATATCGTGAGTAGACCACACTTCAATGATTTATCCAAGTTAAAGCGTTAAACGTATATGAAACGTAAAAGCATATACATTAGGTATAATAACGTTATATAGTTCTTATTCTATAGAGGCTTGCAAGATTCTGTGTTTTCTATTCGAGCTAGCATCAGACACGTAATCACAACATAAACACATTTATAGCGACTCTCAAAAACAAAAGATCACTATTTTAAGAACCCACAGCAAAAGGACTTCTTGTGAAAAAGTTGAGCGCGTTATTAGCATCACAAGCGCTTTGAACACGACAGACAGTGGAGCGTCTAAATGCTATTAAAAGCTAGTAAAGCGGCAACCCTCTGGCAGGAGCCACCAAGGCGTACCATAATCGCTACCGAGCAAAAACCTGACTCGCAATTCCACTCGGCTACACGCGAAGCATTCGTCAGTGCGAAATGTTGGAGCTATTTAAAACGAAAAACCACCCCGAGAGACGTTCGAGACGGTCGACGCGGACAGCGGGATTAGTTCGCTTTGTTTTGCGATCCGATATTGGTCAGCTTAACAAAAGACCCCAATTTAGATTTATTCGTGTAGGTAGCTAGGGGGGAAAATTAAAAAGGAAAAAAAAAAAGATTCCCAATTTATATTTATTCTCAAAACAAAGTATGTACTAAAAAACGAAGAATTATATTCATGTATGACTGTCTGAAAATTTTTCACAGTATACTAGTTATGTTTTTTTTGGTATTATAGTGTTGAAAAAGGATAACGTTCCGATATAATTATGTATTACTTTTTATGGTTAAAAAAGTACCGTTCTTAAGTTTAAGTTATTATCTTTAACCTTATTTGCAAAATATTTTGTAATTACATCGAATATGGCTTGATAACAGCTAACGTATTACAAATATGAATAGTACAGCTGTTTGAAAAATTAATAAAAACCCTCTTCTTTATGGTACGAGTAATTGATTATAACGATTTCTTGATATCAATAATGTCTCGTGTTGCCTTATACGAATAGTTGTTTGTCATCGTGGCAAATAAATGTCAGTACACTTTTTACTGTGACTATAATATAATTATCTTTGTTTAGCAGAAAAATTGTGTGAGCTGTCTGCTATATGCGTTGTGGACTGTATATTATGTTTTGTTTTTTTATCAGCTGACTAACTAGTAAAGTATAACCCAAAAACATGCTGACACCTATGCAAAATTACCTTCAAGAGATATCTCTTATGTTTATAATACTATTGCTATTTTTGTGATAAAAGAGGACAGACACGCATGCGAGTCGCTTGGTGGTACGTGAAATAGCCCAGTCATGTGACATTGCGACAAGATGCGCTATCGACCTATAAGCTAGAAACTAGGGCAATATGACTGTCGTTTCCTATCGGCGTTATATTGCAGGTTGCAGGCAGTTTATTGGCAATTTGTCTCCCATTTCCTAAGCTCTCACAATAATTATGAGTTTATGCTTAGAACGATATTCTAAGCATACGCTTTAAATAAGTTCATATGAATGAAACTTATTGAACCTTATATCAGTTTTAAATAGCAGAAGAAACGTATAAAAAAATTATCGTCAAAGCCAATTATTTTCTTGCTAAAAGTCAAGAAATATGTTAACTAATTTAAAAGTCTAAACTTAATTTAAAAATCGAAAATAAATTGAAAAAAAATTTATCGGCAGGAGTGAACTTATCTTAGGTTCCGTGCTGTTGCTTAAAAGCGAGCCCTAATTATATAGTGCCATTATGTAAAAAATATCAAGTGAAAGTGAAATCCCGTTTCCCCCTCGTGGGACATGGGGCAAACACATTTTTGTGTTCGTTTCACTGATCCTTAATTTAACAGGCAAGTAGTTAATCAGACTTCTGTGCCCAACCTGACCGAAACAATTATTTGTTTCCCTGGGATTCGAACCTAGAACCTCTCGCGCTTAAAGCAATGCTAGGCAATACGTTTAACCGTAGGCGATGGGCGGAATGAAAAATATAAAAGTTTTCAAAAGTTTAATCTTATTCATTAATATAAGTCAACAATAGCACAACGACATTTTTACAATGCTCAATAACCAAAGACAATAAAAAATGTGTTTTATTTTTTATTAACCCCTTAAAAATATGCTATTATATGTTATATATATGTTAATATTCAAGTGCAGATTATTTACCCCAGTGTCCGTCGAAGTAATGATATATAGTTCCAAATAGTATTAATGAATAAAACACGATTGACGCGTTATCTATCGGTATTAATTAATTATCATTGCGTCTTCAAGTTCATTTAATTGGCTCACTCATCGTCTTGCGATTAACTAATGACGTTTAAAGCTCCTTTGATAAAAAGCTCTTCCAGCGCGGATTGTATCGCTTATAATATTAATCATTACTTTACATTTTAATCGACCTGTTAGGATAAAGCTATCTACTGAAACAATCCTTAGCTGATTTTTTAAATATGTCACTACCTAATTAAGGGTGGCATTTATCTTATTTGCTAAACGCAGCAGTGTAGTGCAAAATAACTGTTACTTCACATAAAGTTCGCAAATAATCATTATTAACCTGAGTCCTAGTTGCTAAATCAGCGCGTCTCTAACCATTCAAAAATGCAACTTGCTAACAGCGGCACTACATCAAAAGTGTACGAAATGTACCCTCATCAATTCTTTTTATAAATCAGCCGGGCCATATTGACATAGCCGTTGAACATTTGTTTTGTTATTTATATGCATGTAAATTTCATATTTTTACGCTTCCACGACCCGGCGTTCGAACGAAATAAAAAGTAAAAGCTGTATCAAACAGTCTCGACCTTGTCTTTTATCTTGCCGTACGAAATGTGTGGCTTTGAACTTTGATAAAATTGTAAGATCAGAAAAAAAACACTAGTTATTAATTTATTTATTGGAGCTTTATTCTTCTAATAAAAACACTGAGGAGGGAGTTGGCCTAAAGTAGTGACAGTAGACACTATGATTTTCTTGAGTAGTACGATGAACTATACGAAGTAATCGTTTAATAAGTCTAGTAAATGGTTATAAGTGTAGCACATAATTCAACGACGATGACAAACTCAACGATGACAGATATTACATTGCGTTACTTCAATGATGCTGTTTATTTTAACCTGTGCGATGAAGTGTCGCATACGAAAACGTTTATAGGTGCCCTTATAACACCGTAGTTTTTGAAGGAGCCAAATTTCAACGTCTCCATCGTATGACGGATAAAAAGGGTTCGCTGGTAAATCAGCACGTCAACGCGTCACTGGAATACAGACAGCCAAATCAGATACGATGGCCGTATGTTGCAAGAATTTCGGTTAATTTCGCCGCTTACACGGTACAAATACTGACTGCCAGTCTGTTTATGAAAAATAAAACTACTCCATTCAAATATTAAAAGATTTTTTTATATTTTTTTCTTCACTACATTTTTAAAATGTATTGTACGTTAACATTTTATTAAGGAATAACCTTATTGTTAATAGCTTTGTTCAAATTATAAGGATGTCTTATCACAAAATTATATTAATATGTCTGGCAACACTAACATAAAACTCTTAATTTTACATTTTGCTCGCATATCCCGAGCAACGTAACATTATCGTATAAATTAGCGTTAATATTTAGGCGAGTTGTATCTTGTCTCATTAAATTCTCGAGTAGTTAAATACAAGGCGTACTAAGAATACTTAACAGTTTGCGAGTAAAGATCGTGAAATAATAATTATCTCGGAGGCGTTTGTAGGTCGGCGCGAGATCAAAAGAAAATAATGGAATTAGGCTTTTATTTTGGAAATTCGCCGAAATATCATTTGTGTCTGGCACGAGTGCTACTAAAGCTTGTCTAATACGATTAGAGGAAAGCCCTAATGGTAATAATAATTTAAATGATCCAACAAAGGTTTCGCTATTATTTTTTTAATATCTTATAAATAAACCATTTAACTCGATATCAACTTCAATATGACGATAATAATCGAATAGATTCACCCACACAATAAATCTGCCTTCGTCAACTAAGCCATCATTCTTGGTTTGACAAGTACACACAAGGCCACGCACCTCACATTTTTTAAATGTTAACTTAATTTTTATACTAACCAAGTAATATTATTTACAACTGCTTTAACATATTTCTAACAACATAACAAAAAGTGAAGCCAAATGAGCTAAGTAGGTACAGAGATTTTATTATAATTTTCACACTTAGAGTTCTATCCACTTTTATTTCTACGTCGTCGAATAAAAGTATCATACTTGATACCTCCTACAATTCGGTCATACGTATTTTAAATATAATTTTCCTCTGAAACTCTCTGACTATAAACTCAATTTTTACGCAATTTGCAGAACTTTCCAGGTTGCCGATTGCATCTGCTAGCTTACTAGTATACTACTACTAACATACTAAAAAAAATGTTTTCAACCACTTCTAACGCGAGTTAAGTAACGTAGTAGTCTCCCCGTGACCACGGCTGCTGCAAAGCATCCGAAACGTCGGGCCGAAGTTAGAAATCATTTTCAAATAACTAATATATCGCGTTTTAAACCGTTAAAGTGTTTTATTTAAATGTAGTAATACTATATTTTTTGATAAATGAAAACATTTTATTATTATTATTTACTCTATCAGTATTTTTTGTTTATTTTCTCCAGTTTGTAACAACTACGGGTTGAAAATACGACGATGGAAATCTCTTTCCTTGGCTGGTCTTTCGAAGTCAGACGGCTTTCGAGGTTCAAGTTAAGCGCATTGCATGTTGCGAGAGAAGTGCTAGTTCTTAAACCCGGGGAACCAATGAAATAGATTCGCTTGGACTACTATGGTGACAATTTTCCTCAATAATTTGAACCCGTGACTAAGAACATATAACGCATTCAATCATGAAGGCGACGCACGAGGGATGTATTATACGTTACGTAGGTAAACAGCGATCTTGTACATTAGCTTATTTTTCGCTCGCTCCAGCGCGCCCAAATATTTGTAGAGACCCGACGAAGGAGCTGTCGAAAATTCGATTAGCCCCACTTTGACTATCAAGTGACACGACACTAATTAAGGCGCGTAATTCAAACGGGCGAGGGGCGTGCACCGGGCTATTTGAGTGAACGTTAACACCTACTTCTTTGAAGTTAAAGGAAGCGTTTACGCTGTTATATTTTAATTGCGCCTCGGGAGTGATAACCCTATTTTAACACTTTTTCCCCGAACACTTCCCAACCTTTGAAGAGTGCCGCATCCTCGATACATTTGTCTCAGTGATTTAGTGAACTTCAAAAATAACATCGTAATTGGCCAATGTAAATAGGAAAAAAAAAAAATTTTATTACGAATTCAATTTCGTGCTAAATGCTAAAATTTATAAATGTAATAAATAATAATACTTAACTGATGTATAAATAGTGGCAAAAAACATAGGACTGGATAGATTAATTTACTATACCTAAAAGATGAATGCAAAGTAAAACGCATTATTATCAATAATACCTCCTACTTATTATACTTTAG